TCTTGCTTCAAAAACAACTCCGCTTTTCCCTGTAAAGAACTGTTTACTCCAATAAATTTGAATTTTGGGGAAAAACCAATACAGATATGGAAAAGTTACGCAACTTTTTTCCACGTTTTATTATTTTCTTTTATTGAAAGATCTTGCCTTGTATTACATGGAGAAAATTGAAACACTCAGAGTCAATTAAAATTATTCAACATGAAAGGTTTTTTATGTAGTTTTTTTACTAAATATTTACTTTTTAAATTAGTGCTTAAAATTTTGGAAACTCAGAGAAAATTATCTAGAATTAACTTGAAAGATTACTGATTATGGAAATTTAAACTTGTCAATTATGCAACATCTGCGACGTCAAATTAATTATTATTACTTGGCTTAAAAGTCTCAGAACATAAATCCTCACACCAATTAAAATTTCGGAGAAAAGCGAGAAATTAATTAAGGAAGTTTTAGCTTGTAATACAGTTTAAATCATACCAGGTATCAATTTATTGGTTATAATAAAAAAATATTGTTGTTGCTAAAATCATGTTTTAGTTGAGTTTAAGGCAATTTCCATTTTTAATAAAGTCATTAAAAAACGTTGAGTAAAAATTTTTCGCATTTAATTAAACAAACTAAATCAAATAACACTAATTAAATTTTCTTTCAACAAGGAAAAATTAAACGTTATTCAAGTCCTCACGTAAAAACTGTGATTTGGTTTTCTAGCTGGTACAAACAAGATAAAGATTTTACGACTATCGTGAAAAACCCTTTATTTTGGCCCTTAAATCCCTGATTCACCTGATATTTTCGAAGAAATCGGAACTGTTTGAGTTTATTTCCGGTAAAATGTGATTATATCGAACCATTTATTTTACACTTGAAAGGCTTTAAGTCAAAGAAGCGATTATCTGCATCCTTTATTTGATTCTTGCAATTAATAATACAGTTAAGTTTCCGAAGTGTAACAGTTTGTATCCCCAAATAATTAATTTCGTCGATAAGACTACAAGGGGAATTACTCACAATCAGTGTCTCATTGTTTTTGAAGTGCTAAGTTATAACATAAAGGACTTTTAATCAGTGATGTCAGATTTATCGCACAATAACATTATTGTCCTAATTCTAAGCATAGTCTGTAGAAGTGGCGTCATTGAGGCGTCGAAATCGAGACAATTTTACTATCACATTCAACATCTCTGATAACTATGATATAATGTCATTGTTTATTGCAAGTTATTACCTTTCACCGTAAAAGAGATAACAACTCATGTTTAACACTTGTATACACACCATTTGTTTCGCGGAGACAAGAAAGCAGATTTATTTCTTTTTAAACATGACGCTGCTTTTGAAACTAGGTTGTCACTTTTTTTCCTATTTTAGGAATCATAAATAATTCCAAATACTTCCAAATTTAAATAAAAGTAAAAACTGATGTGATATTTATTATAGTCCGTGCTTGATTAAAAAAAAATTGATATTATTTTTTCATGTTTGTGTAAGTTTTTTACTATAAGAGTATTTTCCATATTATAATATAGTATTAAAAAATTGCTCTAATTGTATGTAGTTACTTTTTACGGTTTTTACTTTTTTATTTAATCTTTTACTTTTTCAATTACTTTACAGGGTGCTCCAAAAACGATTTTACTTTGGCGAAACTACCAATTTTTTTGGCAAATAAATTTATCGGTTGTAAAAATGCTATTCAAAAAAATTATTATTAATTAATTGTTTAAACTTACGAGATAAACATAGTAACATTTTTTTTGCACTACATGAATTGTTGTGCAAAAATTTTTTTGTTAAAAAATGTTTGACTTACAAGAATTAAATAATTTTTTGTGAGTAAACTACCAGTTTATTTTAGAAATAAAAAAATGCTTAAAGGTTGTAAAGGAGCAATGCCAAAATATTTTTTATTTTAATTAATTGTTTAAACTTTTGAGATTATCAAACTAATAACTTTTTTCTCAAATAAAAACGGTTTTTTGTTTTACAAAGATATGTTTATGCATTTTATAAATGTACAAAAATATGTATTAAAAATGTTACAATTTATGTTAAAAAAATTATAAACTTTATTTGTTGTCAAAACTTATTAGGACATTAGGAAATTTTTCTATTTACATAAAGTGTAGTGAAATTTGTAGTTCGGTTTTCGAGCGTAAAATTTATGGATTTTATTTATTGACTATCTAAAAAAACTAATTTTTCTAAAAAAGTTTGGTGTTGGTTATCATTAAAAAAAATACAACACAGTAACAATACCAAACGAATTTTTTTAATTTTTTTTTTGGAAACACATTTTTTGCTTGCCCTGTATATTTAATGTAGTTAAAATCACTAAAAAAAATGTTATTCCTATAAAAATAAAGTTATGAAATATTATTTTTTTTAGTGGAGGTAATATTATAGTGTACAAATGGTGGATGCGCCGGGTTAAAATAAGTAGAAAATGTTTCTATTTCAAATAAAATAAAGCATATATTTTACGTGACAATTATAGTTATTTAATAAAATCTATTTACAATTTTTTTGTAAATTAAAATATAATATACTTCAAATTAGAATTTGAATCTGTTAAAATTTATACTCACTAATGAGACAAAAAAAGGATCTGTTTTACCTAATTTTTTGTACATAAAATGTTATATGACATTAAAAAAAATTTTAATAAATGTTTGCATCGCATGCATTGCACTCTTTGTTCAAATTATCAATTAAATTTTTAAAATATACAGTAGTAAAAAACTAACATTTTTGTGGTTTTGCAACAAATATGAACATTCACACACATTACTTGAGTCAAATTTAGTTTTTCCAGGCACAATCATATTTTACAAAAGTAGTTTAAATTAATTGAGAAATTTTTAGCAAAACAACGTTTCCGACAAATGACCAAAGTAAATTCAAGTTTAAGTAATTAAAACACTTGTTTTTCCACTTTTATTTGATATAACAATAACATTCTTTATTGTAAACTACAAAATAAAAGCTTTTCTCTCACTTTCTTTCCTTTTGTCCTTATTATAATACCAATAGCAGAATATAGTACAAATAAAAAGAACATTTCATTTCAATTGACTGAAACAAGAGCAAACCTCAATCCATCTCTGACTATGTACACATTTAAACAAGAATGTCAAACTTCAACTGTGCATTGCACATTTTGATTAAATAAAATTGCATTTGCAACAAGCCAAAATTCATATTACATTCTTAATTTAAATTCTAATTATTAATCTGTATTTATAGTTCCGCAATTTGTAAAACAGTTTCCACGTTCAACAAGTTTGAATTGAATTTTGTTAGAGTTAATAGAAGTGTTATTCATACATTTTCCTTCGTTAAAAATAATTTCTTTATACGAAATTAACAACGCCATCTCCAGATAAAATTAATTTGCCTGCATAATTTGTTAATTAGTGACGTTTTCTCCATACTTTGCTATTAAAACAAAGTTTTGGCAAATTAGAATAAAACTAAACAAAATTTAGATACCGGTGCTAGAGTCGGTAAATTTAATTTTTCTACACCTTGTACATTCCTAAAATTGTGATATACAGGGTGTTTGCGGATTACGAGCAAATCTTTCAACCACCAAAATTATTCGTAATAAAAAGTCAATTTGTTTGTCCTTGTTAGATGGAAGTAAAAATATCAATAAAAATAATTTTCACTAAATATTGACCGTGAAAATTTTTATGCACAAAAAGGGATAACTTTGTGCACAAAAAAAAATATTACAAATTGTTATAGTTTTGGCAAATTAGAATAAAACTAAATAAAATTTAGATACCAGTGCTAGAGTCGGTAAATTTAATTTTTTCACACCTTGCACATTCCTAAAGTTTTGATATACAGGGTGTTTGCAGATTACAAGCAAATATTCTAACCACCAAAATAATTCGTGATAAAAACTCAATTTGTCTGTCCTTGTTAGGTAGAAGTAAAAATATCAATAAAAATAATTTTTACTGAAAGTTTTTATGCACAAAACAGGGATAACATTGTGCACAAAAAAACATATTACAAATTGCTACGGTTTTGGCAAATTAAAATAAAACTAAATAAAATTTAGATACCGGTGCTAAAGTCGGTAAATTTAATTATTTCACACCTTGTACATTTTTAAAGTTTGATGTACAGGGTGTTTGCAAATTACGAGCAAATATTCTAACCACCAAAATAATTCGAGATGAAAAGTCAATTTCTCTGTTCTTGTTAGGTGGAAGTAAAAATATCAATAGAAATAATTTTCACTAAATATTGACCGTAGAAGTTTTTTAAAAAAGGGATAACTTTGTGAACAAAAAAATATTAATTACAAAAAAACTAATTAAAATTTAGATACCGGTGCTAGAGCCGGTAAATTTAATTTATTCACACCTTGTACATACCTACAGGGTGTTTGCCGATTACGAGAAAATATTCTAAATACTAAAATAATTCCTGATGAAAGTCAATTTGTTTATCCTTGTTAGATGGAAGTAAAAATATCAATAAAAATAATTTTCACTGAAAATTGACCGTGACAGTTTTTATCCACAAAAAAGCGGTAATTTTGTGTTTGGTTAATGTAGCAATATTTTTTTTAGATTTAGACGTGAACGGAGTTTAAAACAATTAAAATAAATACTTTATAAAAAATTCAACTCTTTCCAAACTTTGTTGGATATCGGAAAATGACGAGAAAATATCACAACATTCATAAAGATCGATTGATTAATTAACTTGCCCCCGACTAGAATTACCTGTTGGACTCGGGGTGAGTTCTTTCATCACGATATGGACTTTAATGTCGTGGTGCTTGAAAAGCCTCAATTTCCTTTGCAAGTTGTATTTGGCCGAAGTGACGGCTTTGGTGTACTCCCTCACCCCGAAGGACTTGGACGGCAGCACCATCCCCACATTGAGAGGGGTGTGCTGGTGGTTGGAAGTGGCCGTAGCAGTCGGCTGACTAACTTGGTCTCCTTCCGGCATCATCGTCGTGGTGATTCGCACCCCTCTGGTGCTGCCGCCGACCCTAATCCCATTCCCCCTCGACGAGGAGGAGTTTTTGCCAGCTCCGGAGCCCACCCTCAAACCGCCGCCTCTTTGGACCTCTCGCCAAGCCGGTCCGCCACTTACCACAACCACAATCAACACATTGAGGAGGAAGACCACCACGTTCATATTGAGTATTTTGCTAGACATTAAAGTTGTTGGGGGGTTAAAAAGGGGTTTTATTTACATTTGCACGTTTTTGTTTGCGATTTTCTATCGCGCGATTTCCGAAACATTTACGAAGAAATAGGGAGTGACGGCTTTCTGGTGACGAGCAACACCACTTCGAGAAGGGCCGTTGGAAACTGAGGATGTACGACGCTTGCAATGCGGAATAACAACGCCCACCCCTTCTTAGCCTTGCGCACAAAGGGCCTTTCAGGACAAAATTTTATATTTTATTGATAAAATTCAACAATTTCTTTTTTGTTTAGACACGCAAGCATTCAACAGTCAAATCCCAAACCAAATATTTTCACAAATTTTATTATTTCCATTTTTACAAAACATCAAAGTTTTCAAAGTCTAACTAACACTTGCAACTTAGTAAAAGACAAGTTTCGTCATTCGAGATTAAAGAGCTTTACACTAAAACTGAATAAGTATCTTGTGTTAGCTATAACTATATTAAAAATTATTGTGTACACAATCGTATTTTTGGAAAAAAAATTCAAAATTAATCGTTTCACACTGTTTTCCAGCGAGTTGGTAAAGTRCATTAATGACCTTCAATTATGAAAATTTGAAATAAATAAATGTATTGTACGAACTTTATTTTTTTCGGGAATAAATGGTTAATTTTTTGTTTTGT